CAGTGTCCCTGGGGATCTGTTAGCAGCGCAGTGCCCCTGGTGATCTGTTAGCAGTGCAGTGCCCCTGGTGATCTGCTACTTAGAAGCACAATGTCCCTGGTGATCTGTTAGTTAGAAGCACAATGTCCCTGGGGATCTGTTAGCAGTGCAGTGTCCCTGGTGATCTGTTAGCAGCACAGTGTCCCTGGGGATCTGTTAGCAGTGCAGTGCCCCTGGGGATCTGTTAGTTAGAAGCACAGTGTCCCTGGTGATCTGTTAGTTAGAAGCACAGTGTCCCCAGTGATCTGTCAACAGTGCAGTATCCCTGGTGATCTGTTAGCAGTGCAGTGCCCCTGGCCATCTGTTAGCAGTGCAGTGTCCCTGGTGATCTGTCAGCAGTACAGTGTCCCTGGTGATCTGTCAGCAGTGCAGTGCCCCTGGTGATCTGTTAGCAGTGTACGGCAGGAACAGAAGGAAGTTGCATGAGCTGACTGACTTCATTTCCCTTTCCCCTGCATCACCACAGCGGTTCTCCAGGACTGATGGGAGAACTCTGAGGGCTCCCTTTGCTTTCTGCCTTGATCTCAGGAAGAAATCAAGTCTTCCGGGAAACGCAGGTGACATTCAGAAACATGAGCAGGGGCACAGCCGTTTGGTGGCTCCCCGACGGTTTGAACATTAGCCAAGGGTGGTGGTGCCCACCTGGAATCCCAGCACCTGAGAGGCATGGCCAGAGGAGCTGCACCTTCAGAGCCGGCCTGGACTAGGTAGGAGACTCGGCTTCCAAGCCTACCAAATCAGGTGGGCCTGCTCCCACAGGCCTGAACTTCCAGCTGCTCAGGAGGCCAAGGCAAGGGAACACAGCTTCAAGGCCAGCCTAGACTCAGGACGATTCAAGAGTATGCTGGGTGACTTATCAGGGCCCAGCCTCAAAACAAAACAGCAAAGATCAGGAGTTCAGAGTCATCCCCAGTGACATGGCGAGTTCAAGACCAGCCTGAGCTATTTGCCTGAAAAAAAAAAAACAAACAAATAAATAAGCAAACAAAATCAAAGTCAAAAGTTGCAGCTAAGGCCGGGCGTGGTGGCGCACGCCTTTAATCCCAGCACTCGGGAGGCTGAGCCAGGCGGATCTTTGTGAGTTCGAGGCCAGCCTGGGCTACCAAGTGAGCTCCAGGAAAGGCGCAAAGCTACACAGAGAAACCCTGTCTCGAAAAAAACCAA